AACACGGTGACTGGGTGATTACATTTTCAAGTTTCTAGATCATGTTTTAAAGTGGTTGTTCGTTACGGAAAAGGGAATAAAATCAAATGAAGAATTTAACGTGCTAAAGTATAAGATCGCCCTCGAGCCCACCACCTAGCAAGTCGAGTCAAGATTCAACAAATCCTCAAAGTCAAAAGTCTGGAGTCTGGAGTCCAACTTTTACACGTTTTAGAACTTTACTTTACATGAAGCTATAGATATTTAGAATCTAGCGAGCACCTAGATCTAAAACACCTCTGTGATTGGCCCAATAGCTAAAAATGGCGTATTTCCACCATCTAGACTCTAGATCGGCGCTTTTTCGGTAGTTCCCACCCCGCAAATGTCTATCGCCTGTTTTGGCCTCAAGAGTAGGGGGGTTTCAGGGGGGTGCCCCCGTGACCTAATAAAGATATGGTGGGGGGTTTCAGGGGGGCAGCTGGAAGTGGTTTTATCCTCACCTGGGGTGAGCATAAAAATACGATCAACCTCTCACCGCAGGTAAGACTTGCTAGGTTGGCTATTCTCTCACCCGGTGTGAAACAAGACCTATTTTTCCTAATTTTGGAATACTGTCTATCGGTATGGGTGATTAAATTGACAAAAGCAAAGAAAAAATGACGTAGCACTGCTAATTTGGTCGTCTACTATTTCACTTTTCAAATCGAGCCGAACTACGGGGGTCGCCATTTTGTTTTGCCCGGAAGTTCTCGCAAGATCTACTCCTTCCCTCTCTCTCTCTTTCTGAATACTACTGTCTATCGGTGTGGACGACCAAATTGACCTAAACAAAGTTTAAAAAATGATGTTAAAACACAAAAGTAAATTAATTTGGTCGTCTACAAAGATGCTACGGCTATTTAACTTTTCAATTCGAGCCGAACTACACAGGTTGCCATTATTGTTTTGCCCGGAAGTTCTCGTGCTACTCCTCTCTCTTTCTTTCTCTCTTTCTCTCTCTCTCTCTCTCTCTCTTTACTGCCCACAGTACAACGCTTTTTTAGGCTAACAGTAGAAACACAAGAGCGCTGGAACGTTTGTTCACGGCACAGAATTCTACAATTCTGTTATCACAGTGTAAAATTCTGTGGTTCAGGGTGAACGCTACACTGGTTGGCTATAACGGTGAACGCACACCGAGTGAGAACAAAAAGGCTCGCCAGCGCTATTCTCTCCCTGGATGAGAATAGAGGTGGCCTTTGCAGCTAGGTTTGATATCTTAGCTCGCCGCGCATCAACAAACGTATAGATCTCGATGTAGATCTAGGCTCAAATAAGGGGGGCGGGACCTACCGAAAAAGCACCCTAGAATCTAGATCTAGGTCAAGCATATTTTTGTCGTCTTCTGGGGTTCCCCCCCAAGCCCAAGACTCTTGGGTTCCCCTCGCCAGTAACTGTTGACTTGATCTGATCTAGATTCTAGTAATTCTAGATATAATATTAGTGTACATGATATGCCTTAATTTGTAAATCAAACAATCTCAGCAATTCTCGTTCCTTAAATTTACTTTCTCCTTGTACGGTAAAGGCTGGCTTTAAGCACGGTCATTGGAAAAAAAGGGTGCTTAAAAAAAAAATGCCGAAGCGTGCTTGAGTGTGAAGTAGACATAATCCAGAAATTTTTATATTTAGAAAATTCCGCGTGCTATTTCCCTTTGTTTGTAAGTAGGCCTATAGCAGTTCCTGCAAAAGTGTGCACTGTTATTTTTACCCGCCATGGTAGTTTTTGTTTGCTTTTTGTTTTTGTTTTGTGGTCAAATTGGGAAATAAAAACTTGAAATTTAGACGGCCAGTCACGATACAGCACACTAGGCCTACACCCTTGCCTGTGCGTACCACTGCCCGCTGTGCCACATTCATACCACCGCCTTCATCCCACCTCGCGCGTGATACACAATCAGAATTAATATGGCAAGGGTCAAAGGTGAAATCGCAAGCCAGCCTCCCTTTTTTGTCTCTCCAACTCTCTTAGTATTTTTTTTGTCTGTGTGTGTAGCTTTTCCCAAGGCTAGATCAGGTCCTATAAAATAAGCTAGATCAAACATATGAAGTCCACAAGAAGGTTTTAAAATTGTCTCTTAATTAATTATTTACTTTGATTCTGTGTCTGAACTGAGCCGTACCTCACTGACAAAAGACAAGGAAAAAATGAAATAGTTTTTTTACTGACATAGAGAAGAAGTATTACTGTCCACTCATAAATAATAGTACTTGAAAGGCTAAGGATAGTACAGTAGAACATGACTATAGCGGCACCCGCTGCAGCAAGACCGTCCCTACAGAGGGACCTTACCGGAATTCCGCGGGTTTTTTTCTATGTAAACCTGTGCTCTGGTTTAACGGGACAAGGGAAGGCCTGAACTTGGTTAGAGCAGGAGAGATTGAGTAAGCTCTAGCTGTGGGGTAGGGGGGAGGGGGGGAGGGGGGGGCTGTACGCAAGATCCAGACAGGCAGTTAGCGGTGCGGCGTTGCGGTTGGCCACTCCAGTGATGAGTGAGGTGGGGCAGGCGGCAGAGAGAGAGGGTGCGGAGACATGT